AAAATGGTAATTGATACGACTTTATGTTGTTAAAAACCTGTTTGTTCAATGTGAATTATCCTATACTAATATATTAATAATGATTTATTAATTATTTTTAATGGTGGTCATATCTTAAAGTTTGTTTTCAAACTTATTTTGACCACCATCCACATTCCTTTTTTTTTCATATGAATTATTACAGTACTTCTAATTTATGTGTATGTGGAGTAATATTAATAAACAAACAAACAAACAAACAATATTTAAATAATACAATCTATCTTTTAAATTTACTAAGATTCACATCTATATGTGCATCATCATCTCCGTTACAAAAAGTGTGATGGAGATTATTCTTGCAATATTTGCTATGTTACAGCACTGAAAATTGAATGCTTAAATAAACGTTTAAAATGCCCTAATTATCGTGCCGATTATTATAGTTGTTATATGGCATAATGATGACTGTAATAAAAGAATTACAAACGTTAAACTTTTTTTTTCATGATTTCTAAACCTCTAAAATGGCACATTAGCGAAGAATTACCCAATATCATTTACCCTACCTTTAGCAATCGGAAGTTCCGATACGGTCACGGCGTTTTTTTAACAAGTAGAAACGTGTTATTATGGCCACTGCTTTTTTACACGTAGGGAAAGGCTAGCGTGCAAAAGACATAGTCATACCGTATATATAATTGGGTCTAGGGCCTAGGCTAGACATGCAAGACTCTCATGTCAAATGACAAGGCCTAGGCCTACCTTCCTTCAGACCTTATGAGGCATAGGCCTCTGTAGAAAAACATCAAAAAATTAGGCTAGGCCTATTTGTGAGTCTCCTGTCTTATGCATGAATACAGATCATTTCGGTCGCGCTTCGTTCGGTCGCGCTTCATTTCGGTTGCGGTTTGTTTTCAACAAATATATGGAACGCCAATGAAGTTTCGAAACGCTAAATTTAATATAACTAGGCCTAGTTAACTAGGCAAGTTCGTCAATCGGTTTATCATATCTTTTTTATTTATGTTTTTTTGTATTTCTAATAAGTAACAACAGGCTACTTAAAAGCAAATAAAATTAATACTATTATTACTAAACTATCAATTAATATTATCGGATGGTTTTTATTTTCGTTTTGTTATGAATCCTACGCTTTCTACTACATAACAAAATACAGCAAATAAAATAAATACTAAAATATGATATGATGTTATATATTATTATTATTATTATTATTAATATTATTATTTTATTATTATTTCTATTTACTTACATTGTATCTGGAAAAAACAGCCAATTTGTCATTTAAATTACTGTAACATTAGTTTATTAACAATTATTTTTATTAGTATTAAAGTTTGTTATTGTTTTTATTTTCGTTTTGTTATGAATCCTACGCTTTCTACTACTTAACAAATACAGCAAGTGAAATAAATGCTAAAATATGATATGATGTTATATATTATTATTATTAATATTATTATTATTATTATTATTATGAAATAGATTTCAGATGGTAACAATTCAATTCAATTAAAATCAAAGATACATTTTATTGACCATTTATTAAAGTATAGTATATGAAAACGCAACAAAAAGAATAGCATATGAAGCACATATTAAATTCCATTTTTTTCAATTACAAGATCATGTTACAATCATGAATATATCACCGTAAATGGAAGAAAGAGAATATAGTAGAAAGATATTTTGTTAGTGGAAAGATAGCAAAACAATAATACTTAGGCCTATGATAAACCGATTCACGAACTAAAATATATAGGGCCTAGGCATATTAAATTTTTCGTTTTCGCAACTCCTTCGGCGCTCCATATATTTGTTCGAAATAAACCGTGACCGAAACAAAGCGCGACCGAAACGAAGCGCGACCGAAATGATCGGCTACCTTAAGGCCGGTTCCCACTAAACTTGTCAAGCGAATGCGTCGAGCGTCACGCGGCAAGCGAAGAGAATCGCGCAAAGTTCACAAGAGTTGACTTTCGGTAAAGAATGTCTCGCTTCCAATTATTCGCTTGCCTGTTCCCACTGCTGGCCGCGCGCAAAAACTTGAAATGGCGGGTGGCAACAGAGAAGTGATTTTGTTATCGCATTGATAGACGGAGGAAAAGGGCTGTGAGGCGAATCACATAAAATCCTCATGATTAACATTCCCAGAACTCTATAATGAATCAAAAGAGTGAATATAAACATAGTTTAGTCCAGCAAACTTTGGTTGGTTGCATTTTTTTTTGCTATTTTTTTAAAAAATTGGATATGATGTAGAGTAGACATAGATAAATCAAAAAAGTATGTGCAACATTTTTTTTTCATACGTAAGGGGGGTTACCAGTAGTTTCAAAATGGCCGCCATTTTTTCCTAAAATTGTCACTAATATTGTAAATTTATGTCATTAAAATGCAGTATTCAATTGGAAATCCACTCATAACAATGACAGCAACAGTTAACTAAATATTGTACACAT